CCCCCCCACCCCAAGGTGTTGCTGCTCGTGCCTGAGCACACACACAGCCAGCATGGCAAGATCTCCGAGCAAAAGCGGGAACTTCTTGAGCTTGAAACGTGCATGTGTGACATTTAAAGTAAAAACAAAAAGTTGGAAGAACCTTTGTCAGTGTTTTTGAGGGGGGGTGGGTTTGACAACATCTACCCTGAGCCATCTGTCTGGGGCAATCAGAGAGAGGGAGCACTGAGGGCCATTGAGGAGGGGACACAATCCCAGGAGAGGGGGGGGTAGGAGGATGGAGGGAGGGGGGGGGGGGTTTGAGGGTCTCTCTGGGAAGCCTCGCCCAGATTAGTCACACAGAATTAATCACGGCCCAGAACAATGGTGGCCGAGCTTCTGGCAGACCCAGCTGTCGCTCCGCGAGAGAAAAGAAAAACAAGATTTAGGGTCTACGAGAGTTTGGTGGCACTGGCGCGCACACACACACAAACACACACACACACACACACACAAACACACACACAGGAGTATCTCTTAGTGACCCATGTCCTCATCAGTGTCTCCGCTCATTTTCTGTCTAAGCTCTGGGCCCATTTGCCCACCAGAAATAGCACCAGTGGTGTGAGGACTACACCCCCCCACCCACCCAGGGGCCCTGATGTGTCAACCCAAAATCAGGAGTCATTCCACATTCCCACACTTCCATTTCCCTGTGCAGGTATTTGACATCAACTGTTGGTGAAGAGGACCAACTCTTTCCCACTCACTTGCACTCTCCGTTCCCATCGGGAGTGGCCTCACACCTCCCCTGGTTCAGGCACGACTCCGTGGGCATGGAGCATCTCAGACCTGCGAACGAGAGAGTTAATACGCGTGCATTTGGCATCCGGGGAAGCCCTGAGTTTCATGACGAAATGCAGCAACAAAAAAAAGCGGACTCTCAGGGGGCATAAGAAATTGAAGTTCTCGGTGTGAGTTGCCACTTTAAAAGAGCAGTTTTTTGGCGGTCCGGATTGGACTTGACACTGGTTTGGCAGTGCCCTGCGCCTGTGAGTAGCTCTCCAGGAGGAGGAGAAAAAAGAAAAGAAAAAAAAAGTTGGAGCCATTTGGAGGGAGACACAGCTTTCCAGTTCTATTAGAAATGGGGTGGGGGGGGCAAAGCACCGGATCCAAAGTGCTAAGACTCGCACTTACTTTCAAGCAACAGCAAACTTTTTGGGGTTTTTTGGGGGGGGTGTTTTGCTGGGAAAGTGCGTAACAGTTCCCATAGAAAAAAGCAAAAAAACGCCAACTGATCCACAAGTGTCGTTGGGCTCATGAAAAGCCGCTTTAAATAAAAAAAGGATTCCTTTTTAAAGTTTAATTGCAACAGGTGCAAGACTTCGAGAAAGCATTCAGAGCTCACACAGGCGTAAAGAGTACAGAGAAAAGCGCGTAAAAAACAATGTAATTTATCCAAAATGCATGACAAAAAAAAGTTAGGAAAGTTACACAGTCTGCTCTTATTGACCCAGAAAGCTTTTCCCAGCACTTACCTCGTGTTATTCCTATCAGCGACAACAGGAAAGTTAGTTTCACCCACAAAATATGCATTCCTTCTGGTTAAAAAGAGTCTACAAATCCAGGTGGTTTTTTCATAGATCCGATAGAGTGGCTTCTTCTTCGATGGGTTAAAAAAAAAAAGAAGCGAATCAAAAAGAAAAAATCCTTTCAGTTCATCCTAGAGTAGATCCACATAGGAGCATGAGGGGAAAGCAGACTCCGGGCAGGAGAGATGTTGTCACTTCAAATCCCGAGCTGGAAGTGGCTCTGAGGGACGCGAGTCTCCATCCGCCGCTGCGCGTCGGGGGGCGTTTTTTTTCTTCCACAGACGCGCCAACAATCGCGCAGTCGCTCCCCAGACAGGCACAAGCTGTGAAACTTGATTAAGAGATAGCAGGGAAGTTTGTTTTTGGGTCCCCCCCCCACCACCACCACCACCCCCAACCGTTTTCCCACGTTGTGAGGGGTCTATTATCACTTGTGGATGATCAGCGCAGCGGTTTTTTCCTCCAGGCGTCCTCACCACGAGGAAGCTCTTCAAGTTTCCAAATACTAAGTAGGCGCGATAAAAGTAGTTAAAACACGGATTGCATCGTTAAAACGCGAGATAAAACTTAGGAGTTTTGCTTCGAAGTCCTTTTTAAGACACTGAAACACTTTTGTCCACTTCTTTACGCACGTTTTGAGGTTTCGTCGTCGAAAAGGTTTAGATATTTTCCCGAAAGATATTTCTATTAAGTTTATCGTGATTTTTTTTTAAAATGGGCCATTTGAGTAGGAATTTATTTTGGAGCACTGTTGTAACTTTGCCATTTGTTTACGACCGTTTTTGTGTGGCACGCAGGCCAGGAAGTTAGAACACTGGGACAATGGTGCCATTTTCTCCATGTATGTAGACTTTTTTTGTGTGTTCCTTAGATAAGAAATGGCTGAAATCATTCTTTAGAGACCAGCTTATTTGTGTAATCAGAGTTCCTAAAAGTTGGGTGATAAAAATGTAAATAAGATCTCTCCTCAACCAGTGTTTTCTATTTGATTACAAAGATTATTATTTATTATTATTAATTGAAAAGCAGCATGTCTCAGAAAGGGGCTCTGGGGAAAAGGCTTCCTGCCTATGATAGCATGAGGGTCTCTGAAACCTGCTTTTCCCTTCCAGAACTGATGATTCCACATGTGCAGGTTGCCGGTTCCACAAGCTTTTACAAAAGATTCTTTGGAGCTGAATGTCCCTCTCCCACATCAGGCACAGAAGTTTAATCATGTTTCACAGAGTGTGTTGTGAGTAACAGATATCTATAGGCACCATTTCAGAAGGTTTTGAAGGATAAAATAGGAAAAAAAGGGGAGTTGGTGGAAATCTCACGAACTGATGTGTCAATGCAACATAAACTGATTCAGCAATTTGACGCCCAAAATGAGGGAATAAGCAGTTCCGAAATTTGATGGATGGATGTTTGCCATCCCAGTGTGAAGTGTCATAACGCCTGGACAAGCCTGTGAACTAATTTCTGTTAGCGGTTTTGATCCCCCGCACAGATAAACAAATGCTGACAGTGACTCACACAGGCCCGGCAGGTATGCCGAGTCAGCAGGCGGAGGAGCAGATTCCCATCAGGAATCTGTGAGTGTGTGTGTGAACGGAGTCCGAGCCGCTTCCCAAAGGTAACGGATACCTGGACCAGGTGGGCGAGACTGAAGATTGCCGTTGGCAAGAATCAGCGTGCAGACCTCACCTTTCTGTCCACAGATTAACAACTGTCAACGGAGTCATGCTATTGGTCAAACGGGGTATGGCCGTATATGTGTAGACAGTTTCATGGTATGGTGCTAAACTCTGTGTAACGGGCAGATGACCAAACCCTCATTTTGGTCCCTTTGGTACACTCTTAGGACATTTAGGGACTGGATCGCCATCATATTCTGACAGGATATTCACTGCTAGTTGCTCCGAGGTCCCATTTGTGATGTTATTCATAATTGTGGTTACAAGAATTGAGGGTTGAAATCATGTCATTGTTATTTTTTTCACTGATCTTTCTGTCTAGAAGTCATAAAGTCATTACAGATGAGCGGCGTTCAGCATCGTTAATCACCTGCTTGTGGAAACTGTGTCTGTCAGTACTCCCAGGCCCTCATTTGTTTAAGGAACCACTGAGTGGCATATTGAGACTCTGCCAAGCATTTACAGGTAAAACATCTGTCGGAGAGAGAAGAAAAACAAAAAGAGCAAGTGGAAACGTTGGCGGCCCGAGGGCATGCAAAACTCCGGGAACGTTACCAGTGAGAAACTGTTAAAACGGCGTTAAAAAGGCAAGTCCGCGTTCACACACACACGGACACGACAGTAATAATCAGATTAGGGCAATATTATACTGGTATTGTCATGCAAATGGATCAGTTTATTTTTTTAAGACGATAATCAGCTCCGGTCAATTAATTAAAGCCCTTAAAAGCATTGCATTGAATTTTGGGGGATTGCTGTCTGGTGTCATTACAATCTTTGTTCTCAATCCTAATGTGCTTTTCTGCATCCATATGCAAGAAGTGGACAGATGGCATTTTGGTCTTTCACGCCGAATGTGTAGCAGTTTCCCCTCGAGGGCCAAACCGAACCGGGGCAATGCTCACGCTGATTGTTATCTACCAGGTGAGCCGTATTTGAATGTAAGTGCATCAGTAAATACAGAATATCTGGAAAAAACGGCCGTACATAGGCCTGTCTACAGGGCTTACGCTTTGAAACCCACCACACAGACACATCACACAGCGGAGCTGTTATCCACTGTGGGAAAAAAGGAGGGAAACGTGTTTATTGTGTCACATTGTGAGGCGGAGAGTAAACAGGATTTGTGTTGATTTCCTTCCCATTGTGTTGACCCAGGGGTTGAGGTCTGTCTGCCCCCGAAACGGCACGGCACAGATGGAGGGACCCGCTCCACTCGATCAACCTCAAAAACAGAGACAGCTGCTCGGGTCGGATAAAAAAAAAAAAAAAAAAAGCGTTACAAAAACTGTACTGCATTCTGATGGCTAATGCGGAGGCCCGGCTCTTTTCACCTAGCCATGTGTATAGTAGGTATCATCATGTGGCAGCCACAGTCATTGTTATAGAGTTTTAAACACCAGAAACATTGATTTTACCAGATGTTAACAAAGACACTGTTGTTTCATTCATTGCCATAATTCCTTTTGTCTAAAAGAACAAAACAACCTTTATCTAATATCATCTTATGCCTAATCACACTTAATGTGGTCATTTAATTATATCTCAACAACATTTAACAAACTAACTGAGGCCTTTAGAGTCCTAGATGTAGTTTTTCCTTATTTTAAGACTTTTTTAACACCACACCATCCCAGTTTGGGATGAACCAGCTTGGGAATTCGACTGGAATTTCAACATATTTCAATTTGTTTTCAACATAAGAGTGTTTCTTCTCATTCTAGCATGGCTCAAGATGATATTCCCTCCTGGATTACTGTGCAGCAACAATCTCAGCCTTAGCATTTGGTCGTTCTGTGAGCATGCTCCTCACAAAATTTGAATAAACCCCCCGTACATTTTGAGTGAAAAGATGTGTCTGGTTGCGTATGCTATGTTTTGTCATTCAGAATTTCAGCAATCAAGAGGCTGCTCTCATTTTTTCCACACAAATGCATCTACTCTTTTATTACAGTTTTGATTGTTTGGATGGGAAAGGAAAGTAAAGACCGGCCCAGCACGAAGCCCACTGCTGCCACATAAACGACCATAATAACACACTGTAAATAGATGCCAACTCTAAGGTTTGAAGCCATAAAAGAAAAAGAAAGTTTTAAAAAAAAGTGCAGTTTAGAGGAGTTCTAACACCCAGTTTAGTCCCTGGTTGTCAGATCTCACCATTTGTGCATACCTCATGTCAGCATCTGACCAGTGAGGCCGGCCTTTACCTCTCAGATCTCAGCTGGTCATTAACCGCTTTCTGTTAATGGCAGCGAGCCGTGTTCAAAAGGGTGGTTTCACGGTTTAATTGACGTGACTATTTAACTCCTGAAACTGGTGGTGACATAACGTTGACTCACTGTGCACATAAATGAGCTCTTGATGCCAAGATTATAAAACGGTAACGTAGCTTTGGGAGAACAGCCTTCTCTCAGAGAGGAGTGTGTGTGGGCGCAGTGGCAGATGTGAAGCATAAAGAGACGCGTCCAGGCACGTTCACACAACCCATAAGTCAGTTAGTTAGTGATATTTGAACAGTTATTTCAGTTAGTTCAATCCCTGGACAAACCGTTATTAGCAAAATGTCA